CCTGTAGGCCCCTTCAGGCACTGGCAGCTGCTCTAAGGTCACCCCGGAGCCTTCTCTTCTCCAGGCTTGCGGGTTGAGACCCTTCTGGGCAAGGTACCGGGCGGCAGGGTCCCGGCCCCGAGCAGCAGGCTGCCTGGAGGGAGAGGTGGCTTGGGTTATTTTTTCCCTTTCAAGTCTCGCTTCTGCGAAAATCTCGGTCTTAGCTTTGTTTCGAGAGCAGAGAACCGAGTGGGAAACCTGCCCGTTGGGTTGTGATTCGCGGTTCCCTTCCAGTCCTCGAAACAGGATTCGCGCCGTTGGTAAAGGACTAGTGATGAATGTGCGTCGGTATCTTTTCAGATAAAAAATAATGATAAAAGAGGCGGGGGAGCCCCCCACGGTGTTGGGGCCGGAGGAAGGCGGTGGGCCGGCAGCAGCCATCCCCCCGGTCCTGGACGGGCTGGAGTGGCTGCAGCTGCAGGATCTCAGCTTGGTGGTGGGGGAGAAATGGGAGGCAAAAAACCCAGCCTCGGGTTTATTTGGGGCACGGGAAACTCCCGTGATGGAGAGAAGTGGGTGGAAAGTTTTCCGTTCTTTTTTATTATTATTATTTATTTTTTTTATTTTGAAATGCAGTCTTTGCGTCCCTTTAGTTGAAGCAGCACTGTGCTGAAGCTTTCTAACGTGAACGCGGTCGAAATTCCTCCTAGATCCCTGTTAGCTTGGACTTTTCTAAGCCAACGTCTCTTTCAGACGGCCCTAAAATCGCTTCAAGGCCGCGGTGCTTCGAACTTGGCACTCTGAAAATACCGGTGGCCTTGCTGGGTTTCCATTTTATGCAGCAAAGAGGAATACCACTTCTGTTTCTATGGGCAGCGATGTGCTTCTGTGAGGAGTACATTCCAGGGCTTTAGAAAAGGGAGGGCTTTTGGAATTGTAATTCTCGGAATCGCACATGTGATTCCTGGACTCCTGTATCTCACGTTTCTAAGCAGTAACTGACCCTTCTGCTAACTGCGAAAGGTGGAGGGAAGTCTCTTCACGCCACACGCTTTCGTGGAGCGACAGCGGAGCAATGCGGGTTGTTCAGCCCTGCTTGGTTTTCAGTGGCTGCTGGAAGTCCCCTGTGTTTGGGGGATCGGGGCAGGAGCAGGGATCGGGTCAGTAGGGGTGCAGGGCTTTACCCCTTGACAGCACAGAAATGCGTTACTTTCCATCTCTCACCTTCCCTTGCTCATCTCCCCACTGAAGTCAGCGCTTGTAGCGCTGCAGGAAAGCTCAGTTCCCGAAAGTTTCGCCAAGAGCAGGATGAAAACTTGTCAGTCACACTCCCAGATTCACCCCTGAGCTCAACAAACAGAAGCGGCTGGTGGGAAGAGACGGACAGGTCAGCGGAAGAGTTTGGTCTGTTGCAGCGTGGGGTTTGTCAGTGTTTGGGAACGCCTACAGCAGGGGTAGGAGTGATGTGACTGTCACCTTCGCTCTGCTTTTGCCCTCGTGGAGAGCAGCACCTTTCCTCTGTCGTTTGTGTTGCAGGGAGCGTTGCCCAGAGGGGCTGTGGATTCTCCTTCTTTGGAGATACTCAACACCCGTGTGGACAAGGTCCTGTGCAGCCTGCTCTGGGTGACCCTGCTTCAGCAGGGGTTGGGCTGGGGGATCCCCAGAGGGCCCTGCCAGCCCCTGCCAGGCTGGGATTCTGTGAGCAGAGTCAAAGGGCTGTGGCGGGGGGAGCAGTCCGGCAGTGGGAACTCCTCCTGCACATCCCTCCTGGGCTCCTCGCTGCTCACAGGGGCAAAGGGGAGATGTTTTCAGATCTCGGTGATCTGAAAGTATTTTTTTCTTCACGTCTTGCCCCTGCTTTTTCTGAATTGACTTTTGATGATGGCCTTGCTGCCAGAGTCCCAGTGTACTCTTTATTCGTGGCAGTACAGATAAGCATGCGTGGAGGTGCCGCAACAGCTGCGACAGGTTATGCTGGAGCTCTTCTGCTATGGCAGCTGCTTAGTTCTTTTAGTCAAATACAGTTTGCTTTCAAATCTACATGGGCAGGTTGGATTTGCGTTCACAGCAAAGAGTTTTTAAAAGGAACGATCCACGTGTAATATTTATTCTTACTGGTTTCATTTCAAGTAACAGGACCGAGATGCATGGAAATACAGCACACGTCCGACCGAGCTCTTACAGAATAATTTTACTGCTCCCGTGTGCGTGTGTTGCAGTGCTGTGGTTTGCACAGTTGGTGTGTGGAGAACTCGGTGTACCGTTTCACTGAAGGTGCTAAATGAACCAATTTGCAGCGTCGCTGTTGAGACGTGTAATTCCCCGGCATCCGAACCAGCGAAAGAATTCCGGCCCTTGGGAATCCCCCTGCCCTCTGTAAAACACTGCCGATGGTGGCTGCACAAGGGCAGGTACGAAATGATTGCGGTGTGGCGTGTGCCTGGTGCGGGGTCCTGCCGCAGTCGGGCTGTGCTCAGGGATGTCGGGGATGCAGCTGCGCTGGGGGGATCCGCGGCGGTGAGCTTCAGGAGTTTGTGTTGCCTCAAAAAGTCATCGACTGAGGAATCAGCTGCGCAGTGTGGTGGCTTTGAGGAGGTGGTTTTGTCTTAACAGTTCTAAAGGTGCATTGTTTCGGTGGATTTTTTTTTTTTTAAGCCTAACTTAATTTTTTTTTGTTAGACCTTTACATGAAAAACAAGCAAAAAACCCAAACCACTTGCCCCCAGTTACTTAAAATATTGTCGCTGGGTTCAGTGCAGTGTCTTCTTAGAAAACTGACTTTGTTTTTGAATGTTGTGCAAGGGTTCAGGTTATGTTGCAGGAGTCACAGGAGCTTTTATTGAATCTTTAACCTTTACCAGATCTAGTTCAAGCTCTGTAAATAAGCATATCCTATTAGAGGGAATGAATCATAAATAAATCCGCTCCGCCGTGTGCTGAAATTCCCGCCCTCTTTCTATTGCTGAGTCTTCAAAAATGTTTTGTTAACTAAATATACTTATAAAACCTTGGTTTTATTCTCTGTGCTTTAACTAGCAGCTGGGTACTATTACAGAATTGAATGAATTGTTGATTGAAGGTGTTGATGACACTGTCATCTCGCCTAGTTGGTTATGGTGTTGGGGAAAAATAGCTGTAGATGAAATGGAAGAGATGATACCTAGATTATCACTTCAAATTAAGGCTTAACAAGTTAAGGCTTAATTTGCATATCCGTCGGTGGTGTTGGCATTGAACTTGCCATCACTTCTACAAAGCGACTAGAAGCAGTACAGGAAAAGGGGAAAAGAAGTGGGTCTTGCGGTATATACACTGCAGCTCTTAGCCGGTGAAACTGTCTATCAGGGACAGAGCTACATGGTTTTAATGGAATCTATTTTAAACTGATTTACGTTTGTCGGGGCCAGTCCGTTAAGGTAAAGCACATGAAATAAAGTAAAACGTTAAGTGTGAGAAACCTGAGATTTTACGTTTGAAAGTCCCTCTTAGAGGTTTTCTCTGGACTAACTGGGCTACCTAGAACTGATCTACTTAAACTGAGATCGTTCTGCCTAGAGCTGACCATCAGTAGGTCACTCTCCAGCCAGAAAGGTGTGTGTTTAGCAGTAGGTAGAAACTAGCCAACTGCCTTTGAGGTGTGTGGGCGCTGCAGCAGCAGGTACAAGAGAATGGCTCACTATTTACTCATCTCAGAAGTCCTGACTTACTGCATTCCTTGCCTTTGTTCTCTTCTTCGTCTCTTTCTTTCCAGACTGCTTCCTTCTTTTCTCTAGCAGATGGTGGCACATACTTGCATGCATGGGCTGTAGTGTCTTTCTCCTACTTCCTGTTATTTTGTAGGATTTTCTTCTTCCGTCTCTTCCTGAAATACCTCCCGCCCCTTATCGGTTACCACAATTGTACCTACGTGCACCTATTTCTGTTTCCTGCCTGTCCTGGCATAGATAGCCAGTGGAGGTGTGAACCTGCCCATCAAAGGCAGGGAATGAAATCCTCCTGAATCTCACCCAGCTGAGAAGGTTTTTCCTCCTTCCCCACACAGAGACTGAGAAAGGTTTAAGGGAGGGGGCAGCTTTATGATTGATTTTTTTTTTTTTGCTATGTTTCTGTTTCCCTGTTGTGGACTCTGCTGATCATCTAAAACTTCATATAAGTGTGAAGTTTGCATCCTTTACTGGTATTGCAATAATACCGGGAGATCCCAGTCGTGGACTGGGTTCCTTACAATCACCGTATAAACAGACATCTGATCTGTCAGCTGTTCCTGCTTCTGCTCCCATCACACCGCCGCACATCTAACCCTGCCCCGTGCCTGTTGTTGGCAGGAGGTCAGACAGAAGGTTTGACAGTCCCCGGTACAGCCCTTTAGTTTCTGCTTCGTTCCCACTCCTTGTGACCGGGCGGCAGAGCTACAACTCCAATTGCCGCGTTGTAATGCTCCCCTGTCTCTACCAGTAGGCCAGTGGCACCCGCTGCTTGTCAGCCACCAGTGGCTTAAAAATTCACTTTATTAGCTAGACATTGTGCAAGCCTCCTTTTCTGCTTTTCCT